AGCTCGAACAGTTCATCCACTTCACCAACACCTTCCACCCCAACCTTAAGTTCACTTGGACCATTTCTGATACCTCTCTCTCCTTCCTGGTCCTCTCTGTTTCCATCTCTGGCAACCACCTAGAAACCGACATCCATTTCAAGCCAACCAACTCCCACAGCTACCTAGAATATACCTCCTCCCACCCACCTTCCTGCAAAAATGCCATTCCTTATTCCCGATTCCTTCGCCTCCGCCGCCTCTGCTCCCAGGATGAGGCATTCCACTCCCGAACAGCTCAGATGTCCTCGTTTTTCAAGGATCACAACTTCCCCCCTCAGTGGTCGAGAACGCCCTCGACCGTGTCTCCCGCATTTCCCGCAACTGATCCCTCACACCCCGTCCCCGCAATAAGAATCCCCCTCATCCTCACCTACCACCCCACCAACTTCCGGATCCAACGCATCATCCTCCGACACTTCCGCAATCTGCAATCCGACCCCACCACCAAAGACATCTTTCCCTCCCCACCCTTATCTGCTTTACAGGGGGACCACTCTCTCCGGGACTCCCTTGTCCACTCCACACTCCCCTCCAGCTCCACCACACCCAGCACTTTTCCCTGCAACCGCAGGAAGTGCTACACCTGCCCCTACACCTCCCCCCTCTCCCCCATCCCAGGCCCCAAGAAGACTTTCCACATCAAGCAGATGTTCACCTGCACATCTGCTAATGTGGTATACTCTATCCGCTGTTCCTGTTGTGGCCTCCTCTACATCGGGGAAACCAAGCGGAGGTTTGGGGACCGCTTTGCGGAACACCTACACTCGGTTCACAATAAATAACTGCACCTCCCAGTTGCGAACCATTTCAACTCCCCCTCTCATCCCTCATACGACATGTCCATCCTGGGCCTCCTGCAGTGCCACAACGGTGCCACCCGAAGGTTGCAGGAACAGCAACTCATATTTCGCTTGGGAACCCTGCAGCCCAATGGTATCAATGTGGACTTCACAAGCTTCAAAATCTCCCCTCCCCCTACCACATCCCAAAACCAGTCCAGCTTGTCCCCGCCTCCCTAACCTGTCCTTCCTCCTACCTATCCCCTCCTCCCACCTCAAGCCCCACCCCCATCTCCTACCTACTAGACTCATCCCGCCCCCTTGACCTGTCCGTCCTCCCTGGACTCACCTGTCCCCTCCCTAACTCCCCACCTACACTCACCTTTACTGGTCCCATCCCTGCCTCTTTGACCTGTCTGTGTCCTCTCCGCCTATCTTCTCCTTTATCCATCTTCTATTCACTTCCCCCTCTCTCCCTATTTATTTCAGAACCCCCTTCCCCTCCCCCATTTCCGAAGAAGGGTCTAGGCCCGAAACGTCAGCTTTCCTGCTCCTCTGATGCTGCTTGGCCTGCTGTGTTCAGTCAGGTCTACACGCTGTTATCTCTAAACTCCATCTGCCACTTGTTGGCCCATCCACCCATCTGATCAAGGTCCCGTTGTACTCTGAAATAACTTCCTTCACTGTCCACTATACCACTAATTTTGGTGTCATCCTCAAACTTACTAATCATTCCTCCTATCTTCACAACGAAGTCTCTTATATAAATGACAAAAAGCAGTGGACCCAACACCAATCCTTACGGCACACTGCTGGTCACAGGCCTCCAGTCCGAAAAAATAACCCTTCACCAATACCCTCTGTCTCCCACCTTCAAGCCAATTTTGTATCCAAATGGCTAGATCTCCTGGGATTCTACATGATCTAACTTTGCTAAGTAGTTGACCATGCAAAACCTTGTCAAATACCTTGCCGAAGTCCATGCAGAGATCATCCACTGCTCTGCCTTCATCAATCTTCTTTTTCACTTCTTCAAAAACCTCAATCAATTTAGGTTGGGAAGGAGGATCCTTCATGGTAACCTCAGTCAGTGTGGAAATTGAATTCATGGTTTGGTGGCACTCTATATTGTAAACCAGCCATCCAGAAAACTGGCATCTCAGTTTAGGTCTGCTGGTCTCCAGGGATGAAATGATAGTAGGGGTACTCCATATCATTAGATGCTAGTTCCATGCTTAATGTTTTTCTATAGTGGGCACCAGAACTACAAATGAAAGTGTCAATTCCCTCCTATTGAATGCACTACGCCCTCCCCCATTCTCTTCAGATGCCAACTCAATACTTGAACACAAACTGCTTCAACATTTATCAGGAACACCTGAATTTTGTGTCCTTCTAACTAAGAAGTGAGACTGCTATTGCTGGTCTAAAGCACATTACTTTAGGCCGACTTATTCTTAGCAAACAAAAATAATCTACTGCACATGTAACAACTTAGGGATGATAAAAAAATTTATAGGAAAAAAAATAACAAATGAAAATACTAAAAAGTTTAAATGAGATATTAACTATCAAATATATTTGACACGTGGCACATGAAATTTATTGTGCAGTGATTCTTGGAGAATGGTACAGGCAAAATGAAATAAAGTATACAATTCTAAAAGTGTTGAAGGAGCACAGGGACTTGGGGTAAAACTGCACAAATCATTTAGTTTGGCAGGACAGATTGAGAGTGCAGTTAGAAATGCATACAGGAAACTGGGCTTTATAAGTAGGAGCATTGATCAGAAAATCAAGGAAGCTATAGTGAACCTTTATAAGAAATGGTTTGGCCTCTACTTAAGAATTGTGTTCAGTTCTGGGCATCACATTTTAGGAAGGATATGAAGACATTAAGGAACGTGTGGAAAAGATTCATGAAAATGTTTTCATCAATGAGAAATTACAGTTACGTTGACAGATTGGAGAAGCTACACCATTTTTACCTGAAGAAAAGTCTGAGAGGAGATTTTGTGGCATTCATAACCATGAAGCATCTGGACAAAGTTGATACAGAAAACTTGGTGGAAGAATAAAGAACCAGAGGATACTAATTTAAGGCAATTGGCAAAGAGATATTGGTGACATGAGGAAAAATCTTTTTTTGTCGCAACATGTTAAATTTTTCCAACAATTTTTTTATGCAGTAAGTAGTCGGGATCTGGAATAACCTAATAGTAGAAGTAGATTCAATCGTGTCTTTTAAAAGAGAGTTGGGTTATTATTTGAAGAAGTAAAGAATTGCAGGGCTATTAGGAAAAGGCAGGGAAAACATTAAGTGAACTGTTCTTGCAGAGACCAAGGACAGATGTAACAGGCCAAATAGCCTACTTCAGCTCAGTAATCATTCTATAATTTTTTGATACAAATATTTATATTGAAGTTGCATAAATTTATTACAGTTCATACATTGCAGATATGAATTTCTCTCTAACTGCTAAATGACAAACAAGAGTCCAAGCATAAAATTCTAAAACTTCACATGATGAATCAGTATTTTGGAACTGCTTACACTTTGATGAGTGCTAGATGAGTGCTTTAAAACCTTTGTACTCTATTTTAGTTCCTATTGAACACCTACATTTGCTCTATATCAGGTTCCAAACACTTCTCCTCCTAAGTTCTCATTGGCTTGTTGGGTCCGCTTAATAAAAAATTAACCAATTTAGGGCAAATAATCCATATGTGAACCATATACTGAAATCAGAGAAAAAAAAACAAAAGAACTGCGGACGCTGTAAATCAGTAACAGAAACAGAAATTGTTGAAAAAGCTCAGCAGGTCTGACAGCATCTGTGAAGAAAAAAATCAGAGCTAACATTTCAGGTCCAGTGACCCTTCCTTTCTAATGAAATCAGAGACCTGCTAATAGAAGATGTCCTAGATTTTGTGATGTGCTCTGAAACAACAATTTCAGAGAAAGCTGCCAGTAAATATCAGATGAAACCCATATTTCATCTTTCTGACATAGTTGAATTCTGCTGTCAGTTCAAGGGCATGTCCAGCATCCAAACAACAATGTTATCAAGCAGGCTAAACAATTAATAAGCAGTTAATTAAAATCTGTACAGAATGCAAATAGGGAAATAAAATTGCTAATAATCTACACTTTCAATCTTTTTACAGTTTGCAAAATAAAGACTTTGACATATACATGGGATTATGCAGAAGCTGAAATGTGATTTTTCAATCATATCATGTTTCAGCTTCTGCATAATGAAAAAATTATGAATAAATGATCATTCCACAATACAAGAATGGTTTTTCAGAGCCAGAGAGGTTGTTTATCAAAATTTTGATCTCACTATGTCATTAAAAAACCCATTATACCTCTTTCAACAGGGTATAATTAATAAACTAATAGAAAAAAACATGGAAGTTCACATTAATACAAGATATTTCAAAAGGATTCCATCTGTGTGAACTTCAATAGCGCATATTGTGGAGGAACAAGGAGTCACGGACAACAATTTCGTAATTTCCATTACATTTAACTGAGTAAGTTCTGATACCTCAGTTTCATGGTTGTAATGACAAGTTCACTATCACAACAGCAACTCCAAGTTTACCAGACATAATAAAACTTTTACCACACTGATTGATTAATAAAGGATTTATTTTAATCATGTTTGTTTAGCTTGCTTACCCAACTATTTGGAATTGGCAGATTACAGACCATAGTCAAAGAGCCCATGTTTGCAAAATTCAAAAGAATATGTTTACTTCTAGATATGATTCAGCTGATGAGCAGCACATGCTGAGCAATCCCTAATGTTCTAATAGCCACACTAACAAACAATTTAAGATAACTATTGGAACTTATAAGATGACTGATTTCCACTTGCTAGAACTGAGATACACAGGGACCCATTCTCTACAAACATTAGGAATTCTTTTAAAGTCTGTGCCTTTTTTGATATTACCCAGAAGAATGCATAATAATTCTTCCTGGCAGCTAATCAGGGCTGACTTGCCAAAAAATATCAGCCTCCTTTTTCTCCTACAGTGTAAACTATTGTAATGTTTGAAATTTGGCATTCTTGAATTTATCCTAATGATTGCAAAATGAGAAGCTCTGGCAATATGTTTTTCTTTTCAGCAATTACAGGATAGAAACAAATGATCAAATTCACAAACCTTAGTGCCAGGAATTCCAGGTAAGCCATTTTTCCCACTTTCACCTTGATGTCCCTATGATGTAAGGATACATTATTGCAATTGTTTTATTGTGTACTCCTTACACAGATGCATTTCAACATCAAGTATAAGGTAACTTAAACTTACAGGAGATCCACGCAATCCAGGAAAACCATGAGAACCTTTGTCACCTTTTGCACCCTTGGACAAAAATTGGTTTGAAAATTAGATTTAAAATATTCAATTTTACTTGTTTAAAGGAATGCTTTGAACTTTTATTTGCAAAGTTTTGATTGATTTCACATGTACCTTTTTACCTTCAAAACCACGTAGACCTGGTTCCCCTTTTAAACCTTTAGAACCCTGAAATGCAAATAACATACATGATATTCAAACATAAAACATATCTCATAATGAAATAACAGTTCTTGACAGGAAAATTATAACATCATTCAACAAGATTTGTTCCTTTACAGAACAGTTAAATATGATTCTTGGGGTTTGCAGTGTACTTTTGAAAGGAAAACTTCTATTTCACTATGGTTAAACATGTAGTTTCATGTAGAAGTCCAAAGACTTAAATGTTTTTAACTATAACAGCTGGCCATCACTAAAAAACAGAATATAATTTTCATAAGACCATAAGACTTTAAGATATAGGAGCAGAATTATGCCATTTGGCCCATCAAGGTTGCTCCACTATTCAATCATAGCTGATATGTTTCTCAATCCCATTCTCCTGCTTTCTCCCACAATGCTTGATCCCCTTATCAATCTCTGCCTTAAATACACTCAACAACTTTGTCTCCACAGCCTGCTGCGGCAATGACTTCCACAGATTAACCACCCTCTGGCTGAGGAAATTCCTTCTAATCTCAGTTTTCAAATGTTGTTCCATCTCTTGGTGGCTGCACCCTCGGAACTTAGTCTTTCCTACTAGTAGAAACATCTTCTTCACGACCACTGTATCCAGGCCTCTCCATTTCCTGTAAGTTTCAATCAGACTCTCTCCTCATCCTTCTAAATTCCAATGAGTGTGGACTCAGAGTCTTCAATCACTCTCACATGATGAGCTCTTCTTCCCTGGGGTCATTCTTGTAAACCTCTTCTGGACCCCTTCCAATTCCAGTATATGCTTCCCTCTAAAAGCTGCTCACAATATTCCAAATAAAGTCTGATCGGACCCTTAAAAAGCCTAAGCAGTACATTTCTGCTCTTGTATTTTAACCCTCTTGAAGTGAATGCTAACATTGCATTTGCCTTCCTAAATGCCAACTGAACCTGCATGTCAACCTTAAGAGAATCCTGAACTCTCAAGTCCTCTTGTACTGCAGATTGCCGAAGCCTTTCTCCATTTAGAAAATATTCTTCTTACCAAAGTGCATAACACTTTTCCACATTGCAATCTGACACTACCTTGTCCAGTCTCCTCACCTGCCAAGTCCTTCTGCATCCTCCCCGCTTCCTCAACACTACCTGCCCCTCCATCTATCTTTGTGTCATCTGGAAACTTAGCAACAATGCCCTCAATTCCTTCATCCAGATCATTAACACATAACATGAACAGTTGTGGCCGCAACACAGACCGCTGCAGAACTCCATTAGTCATTAGCTACCATCCTGAAAAAGACCTCTTTATAACTATTCTCTGCTTTCTGCAAATCACTCGACGCTCTATCCATACCAATACCTTTGCCCTAACTCCATGGGCTCTTATTTAGCAGCCTCCTGTGTAATATCTTGTCGAAGGCCTTCTGGAAATCCAAATAGACTGTGTCCACTGGCTCTCCTTTGTCTAATTTGCTCATTACCTCCTCAAAGAATTCTAACAGATTTGTCAGGCATGGCCTCCCTTTAATGAAGCTGTGCTAACTCAGCCCTCTTCTACCACGCATTTCCAAGTACTCTGCAATCTCATCCTTTTGTTGAACATTTTAGTTGGTTCCTTAAATATTTCCCATTGTTTATATGGTCCTGGTGATTTTTCTGCCTTAATTCCACTTATCTCAATCTTATCCGTCTCCAAATATGCAGCATCCATATTCATCTAGGGAAGAAGATTTCAAAGATTCACACTTCTCTGAGTGAAGAAATATCACCCCTTCTCAGTTCTAAATGATTAGCCACTTACTTAAAACTGTGCATGTCTCATCCTCACTCCTGGAGAAATCACTGGTCAATGTCTCCCTGTTAAGCCCATTCATGATTTAATCAGTTCATCTCTCATTCTTGTAAATTACATGAGTCCAATTTACTCAGCTTTTCATCCTAGGATAACCCTTTCATCACTGGAACTAATCTAGTGAACTGTTGTACTGCTTCCAATACAAATATATTCCTCCTTAAATATGGGGACCAAATTACACAGGAATACAGATGTAATCTCACCAAAACCCTGAACAATTGTAGCAAGACTTAACAGTACTGCAAAGCCCTTGCAAAAGGATCAACATGCCTTAAAAATACTTTGATTTCTGTTGTTACTTGCAAAGTAAATTAGCCTTTCTCCATACTTTATCTCATCTGCAATCGTGTTGCCAATACCCTCAACCTTCGTCTCTTTCAGTTTCATCGGGTCGTCTTCATAGCTTACATTTTCACTGACGTTTGTATTTCCAGAAAACTCAAATATATTACTCGTTGTCTCTTAGTATGAGTCATTGATGCAGTTTGTAACTAGCTGAGCTCCCGGCACTGATCCTGCAGCACACTATCACTTCCAGCCTGTCAACTTGAAAATGATGGAGTTTATCCCTACCCCTTGTTTTCTAGCAATTAAGCAATAGTCCATGATTACATTATCCTGCTCCTCTGATGTTGCCTGGCCTGCTGTGTTCATCCAGCTCCACACCTTGTTATCTAATGATTACATTATAATATGATTTTCCTAACTCCATGCACTCTTGTCTATAGCCTTTTATGTGGTGGTTTATTGAATGTTTTTTACAAATCAAGATTGACTGGCTTTCCTTTATCTACTCTAGTTATTATGCCCTAAGAAACTCTAATTAGTTTGTTAAATGTGCAGGGGGGTCTGCTATAACGCGATAGCTGCACTCCTGCACAACATCGCATTATAGAAAATCATGCTATAGAAATAACAGGACCTATGGGAAAAGTGGGGTTAGGGGCAGACCACCAAAAAATATTACTCAAAATCACTCAAAAGCCTAACATAAAGGACAACACAGTTTGAATGAATGTTTAATTCATATCTAATAATGAAATAAAAGTAAATTTAACACCTTATCTTGAAAAAAATGTCAAGATGACTTGATGGGGGGAAGGAGATTTGAGATTGCTCTGTCGTTATTGCAGGGGTTGAGGGTCGTCATCATCATCGTTATCATCACCTTCAGGTGCAGTTGTGGTTGCAGGGTTGGAGCAAAAAATAGTTAATCCAGAAGTGGATGGCTGTGGTTCATTGTCTTCTGACTGTTTCTTGGGGGTTGGTTTAAAAAAGACATCCATTTTTTGCTGCTTCGCCCTTTTACTTCTTTCATGAAGAAGCTGTTCATAGGGTGCCAAATAAAATTTTATTCCACAAACTGCTACCCTGCTGAATTTTGCATTGTCATTGTTATCCTCTAAGAGCTGAAATTCCTTCTCAATTTCCCTCAGGATAGAAGACAAAACAGAAGTGCAATGTTTTCATGGTGCTGGACTTCATCTTCTTCATCTCCAGCTTCCACTTCCCCCTCAGTGACAAGTTATTATAGATCAGCTGCAGAGAGATCTTCATAGTGGGACTCAAGCAGCTCTTCAACATCCTTAATCTCCACTTCTTCAAATCCAACCTCCTTTGCAAGATCAACACAATGTTCTTTGATTCTTGGGAACTCCTCTGATGGATCAAAGGTTTTTAAATCTTGAAAAAAATCTGAGAGAAGCTTCCACCAAACTACATGCAAGCATTCCTTGACAACAAGGTGCAAGGCTGGATGAACACAGCAGGCCAAGCAGCATCATAGGAGCAGAAAGGCTGATGTTTCGGGCCTAGACCCTTCATCAGAAAAGGGGGAGGGGAAGGCGGTTCTGAAATAAATAGGGAGAGAGTGCGAGGTGGATAGAAGATGGATAGAGGAGAGGATAGGTGTAGAGGAAACAAACAGGTCGAAGAGGCGGGGATGGGGCCAGCAAAGGTGAATGTAGGTGGGGAGTTAGGGAGGGGATAGGTCAGTCCAGGGAGGACGGACAGGTCAAGGAGGCGAGATGAGGCTAGTAGGTAGGAGATGGGG